ATATCTATTGCAAATAGCGCAACGACGGTCGACGGCAAGACCGCCGCCTGCAAGTGCTTGGCTACTGCTTTTCAGAAATTCCCAACCATCAAAGACGTGGATTTGCAGAAAATTCCTGGGTTGTGCAATGTTACTGTCCCCTTTCCTCTCTCAAAGAATCTCAAATGTTACAAGTAAGTGGAATCACCTGTTAATATCGACTTGGAATTTCTTCTTCATTATGCCATTTTTTGCACCACTTATCATTTTGACTTCATTCTTGAATTTTGATTTGCAGGATCAAGCAGTTCACTATTGCCTATTAGAGCGACATGATCATGATCGAACGACAAGTTTGATATGGCTACAAGAATTAATGTTTATTTTGCCTTCGATTCATATTATATATGTACCCTGAAACATCACACACAATTCACTGCTTCCCTACCAACTATATTTTAATCAACCTGTAACAAAAAAACTCTTCAAACTCAAACATCTTGTACGTTTTAAATTTTATGCATTTTTATTACTATTCCTACGCTCTCGCTGTACATTTTATGTCCGAAAATCTCGCAGCTTTATGATTATGGATTGTGATACTTGTTCGATGATGTTGTACAGGAGGGTAGACGAGATCATCATTTAGTTGGATATAGGATTTAATCTACTATGCGAGCTCAGCTAAATCAAAGACCAAATTAATCTCTCTATGTTACGAGGTTAATTTTATCTAAAGTAAGAATGAGTATAGAGAAACTCAATGAACAGAAAGAATTAAGAAAGAAAAAAAATTCTAATTCTAATGTTGCATAATTCCCAAAATATAGCCACACTATTCCTAATTGATTTTTAAGTCTTTACTAATAAATAATAACTACATTTTTTTAGAAGTAATGATAATAGATAGCAAGAACTATAATACAGTTTATTCAAAGAACCCTTTCAAAGCAACACCTCAGTGATACCAATAACAGTACTTTACGGTCTACTCTATGGGCAGCCTCGTTTGCAATTCTAGCTAGGAACCGTCCTGAACTCTATACAGACAAATACTAAGAATTAAAGATGAAGAGAATCTTACAGTGCATGCCCTCTGAGAGAATCCAAAGTCACTCCCTGACGAAGCTGATGAGTAACCACTTCAGATGCTCCTTCGATGATAACCCACGACAGGGACTTGGTGATGAAAAATGAAATGACATTCCTTGTTGCAAGTAACTTTGTTAGGTAGGGGTAATCAACTTCAGAATGCTTGGCCCTAACTACCAACACGATAATGCCCATCTGTGCATCGAACAACTAGGCCAGAGGAGCAACCAGGGTCAACAAAAGCATCATCAAAATTGATATTTAAGAAATCATTAGGAGGAGGAAACCTAAAGGCAGGGCGAGCCGACGAGAAGCGAGGATGAGGGGCTGGAGAAGGAGGGAGCAAAGAGGACACTTCAAGAACTTGGAAAAAAACACTTACGAGCCAGAGACCGGACATGTGGTTGATTAATATTAAATAAAAGATCACCTTATCATGAGACTTCTAGATCCTCCACCATACGCATACACATTGGAAAACATAGATTTGGGGTGCTCACTACTCACTAAGCATAATATATTGCCACCAGAGACTGAAATTCACAGTCGAGGCCGAGTAAAATGGAGTCATTTAGACCGGACTAGTTATGGGGATTACTAAAAAAATAGTAATCACCGTGGTTAATAAAGGCAAACTGGTTATGATAAAAAACTATTAACTATTTATTTAAAAAATTACATTTTAAGAATTTACTAAAAACTATTAATTACAATTTTCTCTCTCTTTCTCTCACTTCCACACTCTCCAACTAGATCTCGCTTCCTTCTTTTTCTCAATCTTTTCCTTGTTTTCATTCAGCCGAACTAATACGCTGCAACAATAAAACAATACCAAACCATAAAAAAACACTACCAATACACAAAACGCCAATACCATTAGAGAAATAAAAACACTACCATTGCATATTTAATCAATATCAATACATGATAATCAATACCGATGCAAAAAATGAGAAACTAATACCAATGTAAAAAACACTACCACTACAGAAAAAGAATACTACCATTTCACAAAAAAACAATACGCTTACATGATAATCAATACCAATGCGGAAAAAACAATACCGATGTAAAAATAACATTACCACTGCGAAAAAATCACTACCAATGCAAAAAAAAAAAAACCCAGATCTAGGGCTTTTATTCATCTCACAGCCGACCACCACAACCGTCTCCTAGAAAGAGAGAGAGAGAGAGAGAGAGAGAGAGAGAGAGAGAGAGAGAGAGAGAGAGAGAGAGAGAGAGAGAGAGAGAGAGAGAGAGGCACAACGATGGGCGAGGGTAGTGGAGTGGAGGGTGGCCGGCTTTGGGAGGGTTGCCGCCAGCGAAGGAAGGAAACCACCAACAGGAGAGGTGTTAACGGCGATAGATAATGAGGTTGGAGTAGGGTTTATGTATATAATATATTGAAATTAATTTTTAAGGGATAAAAATCAGGTGTGGTTTTTTTATTCTCAAAATTACCCTTAATCTAAACTTCCCCATCAAATTAAAATTAGAGTGAAATAAAGATAATGAAAGGAGTAGATTTTAGTAGCCACCATGATTACTCAATTTTGAATAATCACCCTAATGTGTTCCCATTTAGACTTATAAGAGAAAACAACTGGGTGGTCAATGAGCATTTAAAGAACAATTGTTCAATACTTCCCCTCCTCGGCCAGCAGATAAGGCATCGGGTGAGACAATTTACTCCTCATATAAAACATTTGAGGTTTTTCATATTTTTCATATTTTATTTAACCGACATGAATTGACACAAATCGGTTGTACCATCGGTCGAACCATACAAACTCGCTATACCGTCGCAATATTATAAACCGATTTGACAACCTTGAGCGACACTAATAAAAAAGAAAGAATTATATTTAGTGTCGGATTTAAACGATCACCAAAAAACCGGAGGAATTTTACAATGCTATATAGTATTGGTGCTATAGGTTTTTGCCTTTATGGTACAACTTAAAATTGTACATTTATGTTATGGTACAATTTCATATTGTACATATACTGTTTGTACAAATTCTTTTGTGGTACAACTTGAACTTGTACCTTTATGTGATGGTACAACTTCAAGTTGTAAAGTTGTACCATAACATAATGGTACAAATTCTTTTATGGTACAATCTACACTTATACATTTCATGTTATGGTACAACTTTAAGTTGTACATTAAAGCACCAATACTATATAGCATAGTAGAAATGCTCAAAAAACCGTCCTAATCGACATTCCTAACTTCACTCTGTTTCACTGCCAGAAAGAATTATTTCTTCTTCTTCTTCTCTCTGATCCAACTCCTTTACCAATCACTACTCTCCTGGAGCTTTCAATGCCAAAAAAAGGTTACGAACGTCGAACAATATGGAGAAACCCATTCTCTTCTTCTTCCCTGGGTTTCTGGGTTTTGGTTTCTTAAGAAGCCAAAAACCAGGAAAAAAATGGTGGGTACGGCTGCCGGTTCTTCAGCTGCTCCTATTATCTCTCCTGTATATGGGTTTCCTTCAGATTTTCCCGGGGATTTCGTTTCAGATTAAACAAGCCACCGCCCAACAACAACAACCGTCGCTTGAGAATTAACTTGTGTTCATTTCACAAAAAAAATTTCTTTATCACATTAAACATGCAACTACCTCAATCGCTAAGGCGGCTGCGACTTTGAGACGCAGTCCCGGGAATTCAGCCTCGCCGATTTCCAGCTTTCCACAGTCGCTTCTCTCCTCCGGCTGTCTCTGCTCTGCCTCGGGCCTCTGTTAGGTCAGTCTGGCCCGTTCCGCATCACATCCTAAAGTGTCCCTTCTTTCATGAATCGTACACCACAACACCAGGATACTCTGCGATCTGTCGAGGCACCATCCTAGAGTGTCACCAGATGCGTGCACCCGAATCCGGCCCAGTTCCTGGTTTAGAAAACTCTCACCGGATTTCACTTCCGGCCGGTAATACCCATTCTTGTTTGATTTTTTGTTGGATGAGTTTGTGGTTTGTTCTCTGCTATTCAGGCCGGAGATCACAAGGTCTTTCCCGAAAGACTCCGGTGAGATGCGAGATCGGCGGCCAAAATTTTGGGGTGGGTGCCGACGTACCGTTTCACCTGACTACCTCTCATTAATGTTAATTAACATCCCATTTTTTACTGCCTGATTAAGGGCTCTTTTACTGCTGGTGTCTTCACTATTAAGGCTTTTGAATTGTTTAACGTGTTTATGTTTTAATTTTCCTTTATTTATATCTATTTAATAGAATTGGTATTTTAGTCTTTAATTCATTTTTACCTGAGGTCCAATTACTGGATATGCAACTTCATCAACCGGTTATATAGAAAAATTGATACGATAGACTTAAAAAATGCTCGCTGCTGACAATGGCGAAATCCCGGCTCCGATGACGGCTCTACCTCCTTCTGATCGACCGCCGGACACATCGCCATCACCTGATGCAACGAAGATACTGAGCACCCAGACAGGGGGTTCGGCTGATGGTAACTCGTCGGCGATGATCATTGATTCCACGTCGTCAAGCCAGCAACCATTGACATCTTCGACGCCGCCTCAACAATTCTCCTATGCTAACGCGGTGACTGGGTGGAAGCTCGCTTCTACTGTGGGCAACGAAACTCACTCCTGGACCCCAGTGGGCGAGAATGACCTTATTCCAGGTTTACGGAATGGAGAGCCGGCTCTCAAGGTTTCTGACGACTTCAAGAACAAGATCGGTACACCATGTGCTCTCGTTTAAGGGGGTTATGGAGACCAACCGGACTTATGGAGGTCATGGAACTTGATCATGATTGTTTTCTAGTGAAGCTTGGCAATGAACAAGACTACTTTTGCGCTCTCACTGACGGCCCTTGGGTAATTTTTTATCATTATTTGGTGGTGCAACAATGGACGCCAAAGTTCAAGGTCTCGGATCCTCTTCCGAAAACAATGATTGTGTGGGTTCAGCTTCCGGCTATGAAGATACATTTTTATCATAAGGAGGTTCTGACCACGCTGGGAAACCTTATAGGGCGAATGATCAAGCTAGATTTCCACACCCTTAACCGGCAACGAGCCAAATTTGCTCGGATGGCGGTGGAGGTCGATCTTTCTAAGCACCTTGTTCCGAGAATATGGCTTGATGACGCCTGGCAGAAAGTGGAGTATGAAAATCTTTCGGCGGTCTATTTCGACTGCGGAAAGATTGGGCATACTGAGACAGGCTGCCCCCATAGGCAACTTGCAAATCCGACGGCCACTTTGGCGATCTCCGGCAAGTCATTGCCGGCCGAACGAGCTAATCAAGCGGCGGATGAACCGAACCCGGGCTTCGGGCCATGGATGCTGGTAACCCGCAAAAGTCACGGAATCAACGGGATGTGGATAGAAAAGGAAAACAGGAGAGTGAAAGGGGGAAACCTGCCGCATGAAACCTTGGTAATTTGGGAAAATTTTCTCCACCTGGGAAAGGAGCAATTACTCTCACCAAGGAATGTGGGAATCTCCAGCAATTGACAGCTCCACCTTCCAATTCCCGGCCCCAACGATCTCCTAGCCAGGAAAGGAAAGTCAGCTACGGAAAGAATAAAATAGATGAAGGAAGGAAAGGAAAGGCGAAAGTAACCAACGCAGTAGTCGTTGGAGGGAAAGGATGTTGGGCTCTGGGCCGACTCCCCATCAGCCCATGGAAAGCATAGCGAAACCTGCTGCTGACCAAAAGCCGACCCCAACTTCGCCCCAACTCCAGCAACCCCTCTCAAGAACTACCAGTGGCCCATCTATGTCTTCGAGCTCAGGCCACCCGTCGGGATCAACAACACAATCCTTCAATCTTCCTCCTCCGCCAGCCATCCAGACCGTGATAGGGCCAAACGGGACGGTGATGCAGATAGTTCACCCTCAACCAGATGATGCCCCTCGAAATTCCAATGACCACCAGTCTTCACCGACGACCTCCGCCCGGACGAAGCGCAGTAAAGGCAAGAAGACCCTCAACAGGAAACTGCCGAGCAAGCCGAGCCCAGCCAAAGCTCTCCAAATTTGGTCTCCAAAGAAAGATCGAAAACCCAAGTCAAAGGCTAGAATGGGGGTCCTCACCTTGAAAGAAATTAACGCTTGGACGAGCGCCGCTCAGGCTCCGAATGAGAACGTTGAGGAAGCTTTGACAGCTAGCCCTTTGGAGGAGCTTACCTCGGTGAAATCGCTGACGGAAGGGGCGCACAACCCCACGCTATAAGGCGTTTTCTCTCCTTCTCTCTTTCCTTCTTCTTTATCTTTTCTTTGTTTATGCCTATGATGTATAATACCAACCTGAAAACCTTGTCTTGGAATGTTGGTGGCGCAGGTGGGAAGGCCTTCTTTCGTGCCCTTAAATTGGTTATCAGCAACAATCGGCCGGACTTTGTCATTTTATTGGAGCCGCAAATCAGCGGGGAAGCGGCTAACTCTGTTTGTGATAGATTGGGTTTTCCCAAATCTTTTCGTGTGGAAGCGGAAGGCAGAAATGGTGGTATTTGGATGTTCTGGGACGATAAGGTTTTCTTACCGAGGGTGATTTCAGCTAGCAGCCAGCAAATTTCTCTCCAAATTGAACAGCCCTCCCTGGCGCCTTGGGTGTTGACAGCGGTGTATGCTTCTCCCAGACAAAGCGAGCAGCGTACTTTATGGGACACTATTCTTAACCAGAGCAAGCAGATTAATATTCCGTGGCTTCTCACTGCCAGAAGATGTCGCATCAGAATTAACATGGCAGAGCTTATTGACTTGGGTTTCTTGGGTCCCAAATTTACTTGGACCAGGGGAGATCAGCTCCAGACTTTCAAAGCGAGCCGATTGGATAGAAGCTTGTGCAACCTTGTGTGGAAATCGACTTTTCCCACGACTTTAGTGATGCACCTTCCACGGGCTCAGTCAGATCACAATCCCATCTTAACTACGGTCACCTCTCATAGTGGTTCTCCGAGTAGCGTGCGTCCTTTCCGTTTTGAGGCCGCTTGGCTTACTCACGATAAGTTTATGGATGTAATCACTAATGCCTGGAGCGAGCAATCTTCTTTCCAAGCTTTTCTGTCTAATCTCGCAGGTACTCTCCAAGAGTGGAACAGAGACGTGTTCGGCAATATTCATAAAAGGAAGAGGCGGCTTTTGGCTCACATCAAGGGGGTGGAGGACACGTTGGCCATCCAGTTCTCACCAGGGTTGGCTAAGCTCCATTCGAAGCTGGAAGCTGACCTCGACAGCGTCCTAGAGCAAGAGGAGCTCTTTTGGTTCCAATGCTCTCGGGATCAGTGGGTGAAGCATGGGGAGCGGAATACGGCGTACTTTCACCATCAGACCAATCTGAGGAGGAGACGGAAGAATATCGAAGCGCTGCAAGACGAGATTGGCTCTTGGGTCACCAACCCCTACTCTCTCGCTTTGCTTATCTTTGATTTTATTGCTAATCTGTACATGTAGGACAATTCGGTTTATGAGGACAGGCTTCCTAGGGGTTCGTTTCCGAGGCTGAGGCAGGAAGATATGCAGGCCCTTCTCCGCCCCTTCAATATTACGGACATTCATAGAGCCATCTTCGATATGAAGCCATTCTAAGCACCAGGGCCTGATGGGTTCCATGCTGCTTTCTAACAACAAGCTTGGAATATCGTGGGGAAGTCCATCTCGGATTTGGCGCTGACTTTCTTCACCACAGGGACCCTTCCTCCTTCGGTCACAGATTCTACTTTGGTGCTTATTCCAAAGGTGGAGTCTCCTGAGATGGTAACTCAGCTTCGCCCGTTATCTCTCAACAACGTCAGTCTCAAAGCCATCACGAAGGCTATGACGAGCAGACTGAAGCCGATCATGAGGAAGTTGGTGTCCCCGCGACAAAGCAGTTTTATTCCTGGCAGGCAGACAGCTGATAATATCATTGTAGTGCAGGAGGTTCTGCATTCTTTCAGGAAAAAAAGAGGAAAGAAAGGAGGCCTAGTCCTTAAGATCGATTTAGAGAAAGCGTATGACAGATTGAGATGGGATTTTTTGATAGACACTCTTAAAGAAGTTGGTCTCCCTAGCTCATGGATTCAGTGCATCATGTATTGCGTGGAGTAGAACAGGATGAGAGTTCTCTAAAAACGGAGAGCTGTCTCAACCCATCTCTCCTTCGCGCGGAGTTCGACAGGGAGACCCTCTTTCCACGTACTTGTTTGTCCTTTGTATGGAGCGCTTGTCTCACAGAATCAATTTGGCGGTTCGGGATGGTCTTTGGAATCCTGTAAGACTGTCTCCGAACGGCCCTCCTCTGACTCATCTTTTCTTTGCAGATGATTTGTTGTTGTTCGCAGAAGCGGAGTCTCGCCAAATAAATATTTTGAAACAGTGTCTGGAGGACTTCTGTTACAGCTCGGGACAACGCATCAACTACAACAAATCCATTCTGTATGTATTGCCCAACGTTGCTAGAAGGAAAGCCTCTCGTTTGAGCTGGCAGGCAGGCATTCCTTTCAAGGCGGCTTTGGGACGGTACCTGGGAATCCAAGCTATCCATGAAAGAGTGAACAAAGACAGATATCAATCCCTTCTTCTTCGGATTCAGAGACGGATGGCTCCCTGGAAAGCTAAGCGGCTATCTTTCGTTGCTCGTCTTACTTTAACCCAATCTGTTTCTGCCGCTTTGCCTATCTATAATATGCAGACTTAGCTTCTCCCGACCAGTGTGTGTAAGGCAGTGGATAAAATCAGCAGGGACTTTATCTGGGGGGACGAGGAGGACAAGGCCAAGATGCACTTAGTCTCATGGGAGAAGATGACGAGGCCCAAGTCTCAAGGTGGGGTGGGTATCCGGACTACTCGCGAGACTAACATGGCCATGCTTGCAAAGTGTGGTTGGCGTCTGCTTCAAGAAAAAGATAGTCTCTAGACATAGTTGATGCGAGCAAAGTATGGGCGCAATCGTTAAGGGCTTGACGTGATCCGGCCAGTTCAGGGAAGTTCCTTCACCTGGGCTAGCATCTCTAAATCGGCTATTCTTCTCAAAAAAGGTTGCGCGTGGAACATTAAAAATGGGAGGAAAACTCACTTCTGGCTTGACATTTGGGTATCGCAGGTACCACTCATGGAATTTGCGATCGGCAACATTCCACCCGAGCTGGAAGGAGGTAAAGTTGCAGATATGGTTCACGAGAATGGCTGTTGGGATACGGACCTCTTCTCAAGTTTGCTCCCAGGGGATATGGTTCAAAAGATCTTAAGTATAGCAGTGGACAAGGACTCTGAAGAGGATGACCAGCTCTTTTGGTCGGCAACTGCGGATGGGAAATTATCCACCAAATCTGCTTATAACCTCCTCACGCATTGCCAACCGGATCAAGATGAGAAAGTGTGGAAAAGTATTTGGAGGCTTCAAACCCCGGAGAGGATCAGGGGCTTCATGTGGCAGGCATTTTTGAATAAGCTCGTGACTAATTCCTTGCGTCACTCTAGGAAACTTTCCATCAATCCTTGTTGTGTGAGATGCGTGGGACAACCGGAGATAGTCATTCATATACTCTGGGATTGCCCGCCGACGCTGTTTTTTTGGTGACGCCATGTTCCTTCTGAGATGCAGGCGGCTTTCTTCCGCTCCCAGCAACAAGATTGGATGCGGGCCAACCTGACCAGCAGCGCCTCGATAGCTACAGGTGTTGGATGGCCGGGCTTCTTCAGCATTGCTGCCTGGCTCATTTGGAAGAATCGCAACTCAGCAGCCTTCCACGGAATTACGGCTGCCTTGACCACGCCAACTCTTGAGCACTAATTCACAAAATCAACTGGCACAATAGAGAGCTAGATAGGGAAAATCTTATACTTCAACATCCTCCATAGTGCTACACTACCTCCCTAGGCTGCACATTACTATAGAGACAGTCAATTCAAAGCATAGTGAGTAGGCAATTTGCAAGGAAACGCGTACTTGGAGCCTTCAAATTTAAAAATTTGGACAGTGGACTAGGCTCCAAGCACACAAACAACCAAACATTCACCCGCATACATTATCGAACATCCCCCCACACTTAAGCACGACATTGTCCTTAATGGAGGAAAGATAAGGAGGGTAGAACGAAGTTACCAGATCAAGGGTGAATGATGGTGGACGGGGCAGGCGGTGCATTCCAGGAGGAGAGAGTAGTCGGAACACAAACACCACACAAAATCTCACAAAGGTTGAGTTATTGACTCTAAAATCAAAAAACAAAACTGACTCAACCGAGGGGAAATAGAGAAAGAATTGCAAACCGACTAGTTGGGTTGCCTCCCAACAAGCGCTTCTTTCACGTCGTGAGCCGGACGATGGCTCCTAAGTTTCGGTCCACCCCAAAACCTCCTTGAAGTTGAGATTCTCGTCAATGAGGTGGAGTCTCAAGTCACGAACATGTGGTATGACAGGTGATGGAAGCTCGTGCACTGGATGCGGATGAAGTCTCCACCCTCGAGACCTCTTCTTCTCTTCTCTCGTCTCATTACCCAAACTAGATATGATAGCATCGATTGACCACCATCGCGTCCACCAAGAGGGACCGATGTCGATGTGGCCTTGGTCTTGCAAAGAGACACTGCAAATAGGTCCTTGCTAAGTAGTTCCTCGAAGTTTGGTGGAGATATCACATGTAACTCATGGCCAGTGCAAGCCTCTTCCACATCAACTCCGTCCTCAGCCTGGACGCCAATTGCTTCTTCGACCTCCCTTTCTTCTTCATGTGGTATCACCCCTGGGAAATGATCAAGAACTCCTTCTGCTTCACTTTCGTCATCCTTCACAACTTCTTTATGCACCCTTTCTTGCTCTTCTTCTTCTAGCACGGATTGGAGAGCAAGTTGCCAAGCAATTTCTTTCATGAGATCTTTTTGCATCTCCTCACTCATGCCCGCCTCTTCAAAGCTCGGTGTGGGATGTGGGAAGGGGTGGTCGGCTATGACAGGACATTCTTGATCATGATCTTCACGGGAGCTCTTCGTGATAATCTCTCTTTGCTCCACAATGTCCTTGTAGACTTCTTCTTCCTCCTCCTCTTCTAGTATGGTAGCAGACGAGTGATCTTGAGCAAGTTGTGCACAAACTTGCTCAACCCGCTCCGGTTGCTTTGATGAGTGCGAAACAGTCTCCTCCGATTCACGGAGGGATGAAGAGTTAGGAGGAGCAACAGATGAGAAAAGGAGGTCCATCTTGCGAGCATACTGCTCCACAAGAAGCCTCAATTCATAGTTTGGATCTGGCTG